CTGAAGAGCTCCACTCAGTAGGTTAGCCATTTGCGATGAAGGTAGGCGCCAGCCCCCAGCTAGGCAATCACATCTATTTGTTCGTAACTGAAATAAGGCTTTCTAAGGCTACAAAGACCTGGTCCTGAGAGGAAACTTCTTTGTATCAATGTTGGTGGCTGGGTAATCGAAATTTGTCGCTTCAGAAGGCTACGGCATTTACGAGAAAACAAAGTCCTAAATAGATAGAGTTGACACTAATTGCCTCTCATTCATTCGTGACCGGTGTCGGCAGCTTCATGCGCAGAGCAACATGTGCGGCGGATCTGGCCGCAATTCAGGACGGAGGCTCAGATAACCGGGAGGGATTTGTTTGATGTGCATGTTTGGCGACTAATTGCCGTAATCAACCGGGGCTGGGGCATTCTGCAGTTATTCTATCGCGGCTATGCATAACCAATTACCGGAACCCGGCTAAATACCAGCCCTCGGATTATTACCCCATCTGCGACCAACCGCTGCAGATCCCAACACTCCTGCTGCTGTTCCTCTCGAGAATTCCGAGAACCATCACGAGTACTAAAACACAAAAAAGAGCTTTTCGGCCTAGGTCATTTTTGTGAAGAAGGCTTTTTCATTTTGTTAAATAATTTAAATGTTAGTGTAGATTTCCTTTCTCTGGGCGGAAAAGGTTGGATGTTCGCATGGAACTTTGAAGGACCTTCGATAACCATTTTTGCCAGACCAAATGGCTCCCAAACTTCCAATCAAGTTTTCTCGAATTATTCGGATAAGTCGGTTATCGACGACTGCTCTGTATGGGGTGTAGCATGTGGAGGGGAGGGAAGATTCCGATCATTTGCACTGTTTCCAACTCTTGTTGCCTTAGCTCATGTCCAGACACCGAGTGAACCCTTCACTTCTGGGAGCAATACACAGCTTCAGAAGACATCAGTAGCTCGATTCCAATCGAATTTGCCTCTTCACTGCTCAGCTTCGGCAAAGGCCCAGCTTTCGAACGGAAAACAGAGCTGCTTTATGCTATCACCCGGACTAAATGTTCCTACCGATGCCGAAAAATGAGCCTAGGTCCTTCTGAGCTCTTAAGACGCGTACAGGACATCTCGGCTGTGAGAAAATCGTGGTGTTCTTGAGAACAGTCAAGAATGACTAGGCGTAGCTTTACTCTGACCACACACCCACTCACTACAGTACACCCACCGCTCACTGCTACCACCAGACTTTGATTACTACGTAGATATTTATCTAAGGACTTGCATTAATTAGTGATCTCGTCTCTACTTGCCATATATCATCTATTCCGTCACTGTTTATCACGGAGTTGTATCGATATCGCTGATTTCTCGTGGATTCCTTTTAATATGATTAGTGAGGTTGGATTTGCAATGATTAATGACAGTCGTTGCTCGATGACACCTCGTAGATGACAGAGATTACAATACCCTGACCTGCCACTGTGATGTCCGGTAGGCCGAATCTCCCTCGATGCCCACAACCAATACTATACAATATCTCCTCTTACCCAGCAGCCTCTCACTCTGGAGGCCCTCACCACCCCAGAATTCCTTGCCCCACTTGCCATGAAATACGTAATCGATGTGCATTTCCGGGAATACTTCATTCCCAGCTGTTCGCCGACGACCCCACCTACGACCTTTTACCAGAACCAGCATTGGTTCCCTCAGCCAAACACTTGGTCTTGCCCTGCACTGGTCAGGCCTATCGAGCTGGAGCTTCTGCTCGACGATCCTTGACCCGAAAACTCATTACCGCATGAATCCAAACAGCGATCGTGTTCGCATTATATGCTTCATTGCTCTCGTTGATCGGTTTCCACTACAACAGAAAGGTGATTGCCTTCTTTGCATGCTCTCTTCTCCTGTGTTGACCATCTACGAACCTAACCTATTAGGGAGTTTTCTGACTTTTTTTGAAAGGCTCCCGGAACAAAATTCGATTTCGGTCTTTACTGTTTTTTTTGCCAGAAGCAGTGTATGTTCTATGAGTGGAGTGACACCTGGCGAAAAAATGGCGTTGTTGAGGTACCAAGGCTTACAAAGGAGTAAGTTGGTCAGGGAGAAAACTGTTCAACCGGTTTTCGTCTCTTCAAAGAGGGTGGCGGCGCAAGGAGAAGCTGAAGACACGGTTGGCTTTTCACCCCGGGGATCCCGAAGATCGGTATATGTAAACCCTTGCCTGATGACGAATTTGCCAAAGAGCGAGATCGTACATCGAAACTCGTAAGATCTACGAGCGCAGCCGCACTTGGCAGTCGACTAGGGACAAAAGCTGGCTTGTGAAGCCTTACAACGTACATCTACAGAAGAAAAATTGCAAAGGCTTCTTCATTTCGTTCAGGGTGTATGGGAATCCAAGTAGAATACCCTAATGGGCACAAATGCTAAACAGAGTGCAAACAGGCAGTGCTAACCTGTGAACAAGATTCAAATCTCTTCAATTTGATCAGAAAGCTGCCGTTAACGGCGTTTCCTCTCATAAGGCAGAGTTTTTCTGATGACGATGGACAAGCGGCTTGAACCGAGTCAACCATTACATTCGAAGCCGTCCACCCACTTTAATCCCCTATCCCCTTGTGCTAGGATAATAGCTTTTCTTCGACCGCCAAGTCGAGTTTCTGCTTACTCTGCTGGCCTTTTCATTAGGACTAATCCATCCTCTACACTTCTTCCTGGCGAATTGGATTTGGGGCTCAAATATGGAACAACTTCCCTATTAGACAGCTTCCGTTGTAATGACTGAAGTCTTTACTCTAATACCTGCCTACTAGTCGAAAATCAGTTTTCTCGGAAGAGTTGATAAAAGACGAAGCCCACTTTTCATTCTGACCTAGAGGGACATCAGAACCGGCCACATATGGCAACTTCCGTTGGGAAATTCTCTGCTTACCTTTCTCATCATCTAATGAAACTTTCATAAGGCATCCCACCGTTGATTACCTGCGATGACACCTGCTGTCAAGATGTCTTCGTTATGAGTAATGAGGAGCGGGTGACCTCGGCCAGACCACAGAGCCCATCGTAAAAAGTAATCCACCATCGGTTGCCATCCGAACCGAACCATTAAAAGCTTCTTGGACTTAGCCCTATCAATTCGCCCACATCACCATTTTTGGGGGTCAACTTTCTATATTACATTGTCGAGGAAACTCGCTTTCAAATTGCCCTTGAATTCGTTTACATTGCGTGTCGTCACCCGCAGTTTTTAGGTTAGACGTGTTGGGTATCTGGGAGTTTTTGCAAGGATCTTGTCAATTCAAACCGTGGCTTCGGTCGGCTTTTCACTTGCGCCATCCCCCTCCTCCTCAGCGAACGTTTACCAATTTAAATGTTCTATTCAGTGCATTCTTCAAATAATTTAATTTGGTTGCGTGATGATTCTGTCGGCCATAGGGCTCGTTGTCACGGATCGACCTAAACACTTTAGTGCCTCCCTTCCGTCAAAGCCGTGTTACCCTCTAAATGGAAGGAAGAGCAGCCGACGAGGGCAAGTGGGCAGCAGCAGCAGTAGCAGCACCTCTTCGTAGCCTCTCCAATCAAGCGACGAGAATTTGACAGCCGCCTTTTTAATATGTCCACCCGGTCGCTCAATAAGCAAGTGCCCATTCTCAGTTTCGGTCGCGAACATTATCCCCACACTAGTTGAGGCAGTCTACATCCGGAACTACTATGCTGCGATCGACCCTTTGGCGCAGACTCTGTTCTGCATTCCCACGCTGTAGAGAACACGATCAAGTGAGAGCGAAATCTGCTTCCCACAATAAGTGTTTGATGGTCCTGTTAGAGTCTCGGAGCCCTTTTCGCTCTTATCTCGCACTCCCCAACATTCCTACTGGCCGAACTGTGTACCACCACATTCCTGGTGGGGAAGAAAAGGCGACTTTCTTCGTTTTCGATAAATCTGGCACAGCCACAGCCGTTTTACCTCTGATGACCTGAAACCGCTCGTTTAATTTCATGTAGGTTTTCTCAAATGTTTTCATACCACGGCTTTTCAGATGGTAGTGTTGTCGTCGGCGAAGAGATGAAAAGACTGGCTGAATTGCTGTTGAGTGAGTTCGTTGCTTCCATGACTAAACTCTCCTTCTGCAACAACCTTTTTAGTATGTCTGGTGCCGACGATCGCCTCCCATTGTCCCAGTCATGTCAGTTCGAAGATTCAGGAATGCGTACGACCTGTCGCTGAATATGCGAAACTTATAAACAACAATGACCAGGTTTGAATCGGTTTTCCTCTTCGATTTGAACTCGCTTGACATTCAAAGAAAGTGGCTCTTTGTAGGAGGGTCCTCGCAATGCTGGGACATCAGAGATTGGGAACGCATTCTCTCTACCGAACATGGGCAGAAGAGTGTTCAATGGCCTCTGCAAGTCAGTAGTTACGCTTCCATTCATCTGACTCTTCTTTTTAGGGTCTTTGGTTAGAAAAAAGTAAGCTAACATACCAAGGGAATGTTCAATACAACGAGTGGCTTCTCCTTCACGATATTTAGGTACCATTTCTGAGACTGCTCTTGGAGAAGGGCTGCTAAGTTACTAAACATAGCTAGCTGAATGTTGAGGTGAAAGTTTTGTCAGAGGCTTATTTTTTCCTTTCGGTGCCCCAAAACCCATGAAAATTGTTCAACGATACTTCCTGCGCAAAGACACGCAATGCAGGTACGGGTGTGGTAGACCAGGAAGGAAACACTTTGAGTGTGCTGCCCTCCTTCTGAAAAGAAAAATCCAATAATGACAAGGATAGGAGTGAATGTAGTTGTTGCTTTTCAGAGGGGCATGTTCTTTAAGAAACGCGACTTATTTCGAGAATTCACCTACGGCTATGAGCCGAAGAAATCGGTGACTCTGTCGATGTCGTGAAGGAATGATTTATAAAACGCTGACAGCTATGGAATTCCACCTCTTCGGACAAAAAAGTTGAAGTGCAACTCGAGTGTAGGCGCTCTCAGTCTTGTTCTTTCTCGGGTATCATTTCCCCAGAAATTCAAATCCACAATGAATCCAGTTCTTTGCTCGATCCTCTTCCTTTTTGGACTGTTACTTGCAGTGCCAGTTAATCATCTGAAGGTGTTTGATGGTCCTATTAAGGTCCTGCCCAATATTTTCTTTCCTCCTACATAAAGCGGCATACTGATTTGAATGGTGAAGCATCAAGCATAAGGTTTTTTATTTTTGCTTTCTTTAAATCAAATCGCTGGATACAAGTGAACTAAAGCATTTTCGAAAAAGCTAGCTGGTTACAAGCTGCTGCTTCTTTGTGACGAGCAGATTTCGAGTTTTTTTGAGTTGGTTCTTTGTTGACAGTCGTCCTCTCCTTTACTGGGAACTCCACACCTCTAGGTTACTGATTACTCCATACGATCTGGCACTCGTCATTGTTCAGTCAAATAGGACGTCCTGTCAAATTTGGGTTTTATAGAGACCCTGGCAACTTACTCCGTTTACCTTTCG